TGTGTGTGTGGACACATCTTTCCCTGAATGCTGCTCTGTTTTATGATGGAGTAGAAAAGGAAATAGGAAAGTCAAGTGGAGATGCATCCAGATGACATCTGGATTTGAATTAAGTTTGTTTGTGTTCTTCTTGAATCCACAGAAAAGTTATGATCAGTAAAAAATGAAAATAAAACAACTGGCACACTGTCTTGTAAAGTGCTGGTAAACAACACAGTGTAGAGGATTTTATTCAAATGGCTTTCCTTCACCGTTTGTTCGCCTCTCTGTTTAAAAAATCTAATCATTGTCTTGCAGTTGGCTTTTAATTGGGAGCTTCACATAAAGAAGGTTTTTGTTGTAAACAGAAATAAACTTTTTTGGATCCTCCATCTTGTTTGTGTATTTAAATAGAGTGCTGTTTTTAATGTTCTCTCCTCCTCTCTCTCAGGGCGTTGAGTAGATGTGAGGAGATGATCCAGCGTTACAGCAGGGAGCTGAACTCAGACGGAGCCGTGGTGGGGAAAGCAGTGGAGGACTGTATGAGGGCCATTATAGGAGTCCTGCTTAACCTGACCCACGACAACGGTTAGCCCACACGAGCAACGCCACAGCATACAACACACACACACACAGTTTAAAACATTCTCTACTGCTGCTGATAGTTGGCACATAAACAGGTTTACTGGAATCTAAAAGGTTGATTGATTTGGGTGTAAGTCAGTCAATGACTTATTACAAACAACTGACTGCTGTTTTGTTACAGTATGTACTCACATGTGTTAACCTGTGTGTGTGTGCAGAGTGGGGCAGTACGAAGACAGGAGAACAAGAGGATTTAATAATGACGGCTCTGAACTGTGTCCTCAAAGTCCCTCAATATCTTCCTCAAGAACAGAGGTTCGACATCAGAGTACTGGTGAGTAAAATTTCAAAAATGACTTTGATTTTCTTATTAAATTGTGGAAATAACTGACATATATGGCCATGAACTTCCTGCTGGAATACAACACCATCCGTCACTTAAGGGTGCTCAGAATCTGTGAAAAGTTATAAAACTTAAGTTATAATGACAGACGTGTTTGTAACTGATCTGTGTGTGTGTGTGTGTGTGTGTGGTGGTGGTCAGGGTCTGGGCCTGCTCATCAACCTGGTGGAGTACAGTGCCAGGAACAAGTACTGCCTGATGGAGATGGAGATGGAGGGAGGTCAGGGTCCCTGCAACTCCACCGTCTTGCTGAACCCTCAGCACCAGGACATCACCAGTGCTGGCCCACTGAGCGCCATCGCTGCTCTTGTACAGGTGTGTGTGTGTGTGTGTGTGTGTGCTCTGTGTTTTCAGACTACATGAAGACGCAGCTTAGCACAGGAATTGCGTTTGTTTGCTGAAAAGAGCCTCTTTCCACTCCAAACAGCAGAATCATGGAGCAGGTGCTGTATGAGAAATATTTCTGGCTGATCACATCTACATGTTAGACTGTAAATTAATAGTCGTGTTATCCTCAGCGCTCGCTATTTGTCTCATCTCTGTTTTGTTCTGTACTGCTGTGGCAGCTCAGTTTCCCATGAGCACCATTAAAGCTTCATTTAAATCGAATCATCCCGTGTAATCAGATTTTGCTGACGCTCAGACTGGCTTCCAGTGGGGTCAACAGTAAAATCTGCAGTAGTAGTCCGACGCCATACAGAGAAACAAGAGCGCTGAAATAAGAGAGGGGAGGTGGAAATGGTGTAAAAAGTAAAATATTTTGATACTTTGCTCTCTCCACTGGTTGTATCTTAAAATATACTGAGGCAGACAGCACACACATCCACCTGGGGGATGCTGAGGCTGAAGATCTGTACCACTTTCCACCAGGATTGTCCCCAAACAGAACCTTGGATCATCAGTCATTTGAGAGATGCTGTAGTTGCAACAGAATTCTACACTTAGGGGCTTAAATTTTTTATGAGAGTTGTTAAAGTACATGCTAACCTGCTACACTGTCCTCCTGTTCGTCCTCCTCAGCTGTTCCTCCAGCGGGAGCGGGCTGCCATCCTGGCTGAGGCGCAGACAGATGACCTCATCAAGGAAACGCCGAAGCCTGCGGACCAGAGCGGGCAGTGGCAGGAGACCGGCGGGGAGATCCAGTGGGTCGCCAACGACAACAACAACGAGTCCGACAAGCAGGAGGACGCCAAGAAGAAGGAGAAGGACGAGGAGGACGAGGAGCTGGACCTCAACAAAGGTACGGCCGCGTCAGACGTCGTGTGGAGACGTGGATAGATTTAAGAAATTGAAAACTAGAAATGTTTCTTTCTTTTCTAATCGGTGCCTTTCCTCCTCAGCTCTGCAGCATGCAGGGAAGCACATGGAGGACAGCATCGTGGCCTCCTACACAGCACTGCTGCTGGGCTGCCTGTGTCAGGGGAGCCCGGTGAGTGAGACACACACACACACAC